ACTTGTGTTGCTGTATAGTCACTAGATCGTGTCCAACTCTGTGACCCCATGGACTGTAGCCTCCCCGGGCTCCTCTGTTCATATTTCCCAGGTAACCATACTGGAGTGGGTTGCCATATCCTTCTCAGGGCATCTTCCCAACCCAGGGATAGAACTCCTGTCTCCTCCATCGGCAGGTGGATTCTTTACTGCTGAGCCACCAGGAAAGCCAAATGTAACTTACCTTGACATAATAAGGGCCATATACAACAAACCCACAGCAAGCATCATTCTCACTAGTGAAAAACTGAAAGCTTCCTTAAGATTAGGAACAAGACAAGGATGTCCACTCTCCCTGCTATTATTCAACATAATTTTGGAAGTCGTAGTGACAGCAGTCAGAGAAGAAAAAGAAAGTAATCTATATTGGAAAAGAAGTTAAACTGTCACTGCTTGAGACAACATGATACTATTCATAGAAAATTCTAAAGATGCTACCAGAAAACTACTAGAGCTCATTGATGAATTTACAAAGTTGCAGGATATAAAATTAACACAGAGAAATCTCTTGCATTCTTATACACTAACAATGAAAGATCAGAAAATCAGCAAAACAATCCCATTCACCATCATATCAAAAAGAATAAAATGCCTAGAAATAAGACTACCTAATGGTGCAAGACTTCTCCTCAGAAAACTGTAAGATATTGCTGAAAGAAATTGAAGATGATGCAAACAGGTAGGGAGATAGACCATGTCTATTGATAGGAAGAATCAATATTGTGAAAATGACTGTAGTACCCAAAGCAATCTACAGATTTAATGTAAGTCCTATCAAATTACTAAGAGCATTTTCCATTACATTACAACAAAAAATTTTGCAAATAGCCAAAACAGTCTTGAGAAAGAAAAATGGAGCTGAAAGAATCAACCTTTCTGACTTTAGACTGTACTACAAAGCTACAGTCATCAAGACAGTATGATACTGGCAGGAAAAAAAAGAAATATAAAACAAGGGAACAGGGTAGAAAGTCCAGAGTAAATAAACCCACACACTTATGGCCACTTAATCTATAACAAAGGAGACAAGAATATGCAATGGACAAAAGGCAGTTTCTTCAAGATGTGGTGCTGGGAAAACTGGACAGCTACATATGAAAAGAATGAAATGAGAACATTTCCTAACACCATACATAAAAATAAACTCACAGTGGATTAAAGACATAAATGATAGGCCAGATACCACAAAACTCTTAGAAGGAAAACTTAGAACACTCTTTGACATGGATCACAGCAAGATCTTTTTCAGTCCACCTCCTAGAGTAAAGAAAATAAAAACAAAAATAAACAAGTGGGACTTGAAAACTTCTACACAGCAAAGAAAACCATAAACAAAATGAAAAGACAACCCTCAGAATGGGAGGAAATAATTGCAAGTGAAGCAACTGACGAGATTAATCTCCAAAATATACAAATACTTCATGGAACTCAATATAAAAAACAAACAACCCCATCAGAAAATGGCCAGAAGATCTAAATAGACATTTCTCCAAAGAATACATACAGATGGTCAACAAACACATGAAAAGATGGCTCAGCATCACTTTTTCATTAGATAAATGCAAACTACGGCTACAGCAAGGTATTACCTCACACCAATCAGAATGACCATCTCAAAAAATCTACAGACAATAAATGCTGGCAAAGGAATGGAGAAAAGGGTGACTCTCCTAAACCATTGGTGGAAATGTAAATTAGTATAGCCACTAGGGAGAACAGTATGGAGGTTTCTTAAAAAAATAAAAGCAGAGCTGCCATGTGATCCTGCAATTCCATTACTGGGCATCTATCCAGAGAAAACCATAATTCAAAAAGATACATGCAACCCCAATGTTCATTGAAGCACTATTTACAATAGCCAGGACACAGAAGCAGACTAAATATCCATCAACAGAGGAATGGATAAAGAAGATGTGGTACATATGTACAATGGAGTATTACTTAACCATAGAAAGATTGAAATAATGCCATTTGCAGCAACATGGAAGGACCTACAGAGTGTCATACTGAGTGACATAAATCAAAGACAAATATGTGATATCACTTATATGTGGAATGTTAAAAACAGAAACAGTTATCTACAAAACAGAAATGGAGTTACAGATGTAAGTTAACAAGAAAAAGCAGGGAGGGGGGATAAACTGGGAGATTGAACTTGACATATACACACTCAGTTCAGTCGCTCAGGCGTGTCCAACTCTTTGTGAACCCATGAATCGCAGAACCCCAGGCCTCCCTGTCCATCACCAACTCCCGGAGTTTACTCAAACCCTTGTCCAGCGAGTCGGTGATGCTATCCAGCCATCTCATCCTCTGTCGTCCCCTTCTCCTCCTGCCCCCAATCCCTCCCAGCATCAGGGAGTTTTCCAATGAGTCCGCTCTTCACATGAGGTGGCCAAATGGAGTTTCAGCTTCAGCATCAGTCCTTCCAGTGAACACCCAGGACTTACCTCCTTCAGGATGGACTGGTTGGATCTCCTTGCAGTCTCTCAAGAGTCTTCTCCAACACCACAGTTCAAAAGTATCAATTCTTCGACGCTCAGCTTTCTTCACAGTCCAACTCTCACATTCATACATGACCACTGGAAAAATCATAGCCTTGACCAGATGGACCTTTGTTGGCAAAGTAATGTCTCTGCTTTTTAATATGCTATCTAGGTTGGTCATAACTTTCCTTCCAAGGAGTAAGCGTCTTTTAATTTCATGGCTGCAGTCACCATCTGCAGTGATTTGGAGCCCAAAAAAACAGCCACTGTTTCCACTGTTTCCCCATCTATTTGCCATGAAGTGATGGGACCAGATGCCATGATCTTAGTTTTCTGAATGTTGAGCTTTAAGCCAACTTTTTCACTCTACTAAATATAAAATAGATAACTGATAAGTACTCAGTATTCTGAGTAGGCCAGGAAATTCTATTCAATCCTCTGTAATGGTTTATATGGGAAAGAATCTCAAGGAGAGTGGATATATGTATATGTATAACTGATTCTTTTTGCTATACATCTGAAATTAGCACAACATTGTAAATCAACTATACTCTAATAAATAAAAAATATATATATACAGGCAAATCACAGACTAGAAGGAAATACTTACAAAATTTGACAAAAAGTAAATATATATTTATATATACATATATGTGTGTGTGTGTGTATACATGTATGTATATCCAAGAGATAGATCCAGGATATATGAAAAATTCCTGAATTTCAATAATAAATAAATGTGATTTGGAGCAATTCATAAATTTATATATGTAAATAACCAGTAAGAACATGGGTATTTAACATTTATTAGTCATCAGGAATGCAAATTAAAATCTTAATGCGATATGCCACCAGAATGGCCAAAATATAAAGCATTTACAAATGCTGACATGGTTGTGAAGTAACGGGAATTATCCTGAAATATTGTTTAAAATAGAAATTAATACAACCATTTTGGAAAACTTACTGATAGTTTTTTTTTTTTCCCTAAAAATAGCATAGTTACGCTATGACCCAGCAATTCCACTGTGAGCTCTTTATCCAAGAAAAATGTAAACATAGGTTACAAAAAAAGACTAGTAGAAGTTTAATAGCACTTTTATTCATAATAGCTAAAAACGGGCAAGAGTCCAGCTGTCCATCAATAGGAGAATAAATAAGCAAGCATATATTTATACAGTGGAATACTGTTCATCAGTACAAAGGATTGATTTGCTAATAAATGTAACAAAAAATACTGAGTAAAAGAAATCTTGCACAAAAGAGTATATACAAGTTTCCATTAATATGAAATGCTAGAATAGGCAAAATTTCAGAGGGAAGAAAAAATCATAATAATTGTTGCCTTAGGACTGATGGAATAAGGATTAACTGTTGTAAGGAGTTTGAGGGATCTGGGTGTTGATGAATGAAAAGCTATTATCACTGAACAGGTTTGCATAAGAAAAGTCCTCTCAGCATGAGACTAGCTAGAGGCTTCTGGCCAGAAGAGAAGGAGGGCAAAGGAGTTCCTGGGGTGAAGGAGACTGCAGTGACTGTCTCTGGAGGTTACAAGTCTAAGTGCTGTTGCTTAGTAGCACACTGAGGAGTCTGGATCAGAGATAGTAGTGACTTCGGGTCTTAAAACCCCAACCTCTATCTTATCAATGGCTAGCAGATGTTCAGTGTTGTTTTGTGCAGTATACAAAGCAGGCAAGCTATAAATCATTAAAAGTCTGCTTGTTTGGGGTCATTTTTTAAAAAATAATTGAATGTATAAAAATGTTAGTTTATACAACATTTAGTTCCAGCTGATGTTGGAGCTAATGGATCTCAGCCTGCAATGAAGATGTAAACAACTCAGGCCAAAACAGAGAAGCCATCTTCATCTAATAAATATAACAACTGAAAAGGAATAAGAGGAAATTTTTTTGGAGTGATGATAATGTTCTACATCTTGATAAAGGTTTAAATCACACAAGTGAATACATTTGTCAAAACTCATGAAGTATATACCTAAGAATTGTGCATTGCACATGATATGCATGCTAAAATACTCAGGGTAAAATGTACTGCTGTATCAGTTTGTACTGAAACACCAAAAATAGAATGGGTTAGTAGATAGTTGGATAGGTATCTGATAAAGCAAGTATAGTAAAATTTTAATAGTAGAATCTAGGTTGGGATATACATATGTTTATTATAAAATATTTTGCTTTTTGTTTAAAAAAGTTTATAATGAGATATTGAGGCCTACCAGGTCAAGATAGACTAAGCGTAACAAGAAGTACTGAGTAAAAAAAATCTTACACAAAAGAGTATATGTAAGTTTCCATTAATGTGAAAAGACAAGCTGTTAGGAAACTATGCCATTGCATTAAAAAACATATATATAGAGCTTTGTATTTCTTGACCGATTTTAAACTATAATTTCTGTAGAAACAATCCTATGTTTGATAATTTGGCTGAAGATATGTGGTGTTTGCTCTTTCACAGAGAAAGTCCTTCTGCTAGCCTGGACACATGTGCGTTTCTGTCATCGTTTGCGTGCTCCAGTCGGACTCTGCTTATTGATGGCCGAGTCGAACTCAAAAGAGGCCTGCAGAGGCAGGAGCGGCATCTTTTCCTGTTCAATGATCTGTTTGTTGTGGCCAAAATCAAGTAAGTATACTGGACACTTTCTCCTGGCTTATCATTATGAAGTTGCATTTCCACTAACAAAGATAACCTTTCTTTTCAATATCACTATCAGATTATGTGGCCTCTATTACCATAACTAATGTCTGAAGTGAGTTTTATGTTTGTTTTGTTTTTGAAAAAATGCTCCAATTATTTACTCATTTAACAAGTGTTCACTTAAGTCCTGCTCTGTGCCATGCTGTGAATAAATATAGGGGATACAGTGAAGAATGTGATGGATATGGTCCCTGCTTTCCTGATGCTTTCATTTATAACGTGGGTGGGGGGTAAATTACAAATTGTGCTTACTGCCATGAAGAAAATCGGGTAAAGTGAATTATGGGATATATGTTAGGTAGGAAGAATAAAATCAATGAAGAGTGAAAAACGACTAGCCATTCAGATATTAGGAGGGTGGGTATTCAAAGGAGAAGTAATAGCAGGAACAAGGCAGGTGGGAAAGGTTGGGCCTTTGAAGTTGAAAGAAGGCCTATGTCACTGGAGCATAATAAGCAGGAAGAGAGTAATATAAATTGATATTGGAGAAATAGACAAGGATCAGCTATCAGGACCTTTGTTGGCTGCATGAATTATCTATTGCTATATAACAAATTACCCCAAAAGGTAACAGTTTATGACTACAAACTTTTTTCTCTGAGTCAAAAATCTGGGCACCGTTTAGCCAGGTGTTTCTGGCTCAAGGGCCCTCATGTGGATCCTGGCTATCCTCAGTTCCACAGTGGCTCTTGGCCAGAGGCTGTGGTTCTTTTCCATGTAAGTCTCTCCACAGAGCTGCTCTTAACATGGAATTGTTTCCTTTAAAGTGAAAGATCCAAGAGAGTGAGGAAGAGAGTATTGAAGGAGTGTGTGTGTTCAGTTGCAGCAAGAATATTGAAGTCGGTTGCCATGCCCTCCTCCAGGGGATCTTCCCAACCCAAGGATTGAACCCGCATCTCCTATGTCTCCTTCATTGCAGGTGGATTTTTTACATTCTGAGCCATTGAGAAAGCCCTGTTGAAGGGAGAGAACACCTAAAATAGAAGCTGCAGTCCTTTCTAACCTAACTTTAAAAGTAGTATACCATCATTTCTAATATAGGCTATTAGCCACTCAGAATATTGGGAAGCCAGGATCTTTGGGGGTATCTTGGAGGCTGAGTACCAAAAGGCCATGATAGAGTTTACATTTTATTCCAAATGGTTTTAACTAGGGGAGTACCATAATGGGGTACATATTTTTTAAATACTCTTCTCGCTATAGTAGATAATGGGATTAGAGGGTAGACAGGAGTAGAAGCAAGGAGACTGGACTGGAGGTTATTGTAATAGTCCTGATGAGAGATAATGAAGGCTTTATCTGGAGAAATGGGAGTTAAATGAAGGATGCAGACATATTTGAATATACTTTCAGTTCAGTTCAGTCGCCCACTTGTGTCCAACTATTTATCACCCCATGGACTGCAGCATGCCAGGCTTCCCTGTCTGTCACCAACTCCCAGAGCTTGCTCAAATTCATGTCCATTGAGTCTGTGATACCATCCAAGCATCTCATCTCTGTTGTCCCCTTCTTCTCCTACCTTCAGTCTTTCCCAGCATTAGAGTCTTTTCTACTGAGTCAGCTCTTTGATTCAGGTGGCCAAAGTATTGGACTTTCAGCTTCAACATCAGTCCTTCCAATGAATACTCAGGGTTGTTTTCCTTTACGATTGACTGGTTTGATCTTGCAATCCAGGGGACTCTCAAGAGTCTTCTCCAACACCACAGTTCAAAAGCATCAATTCTTTGGCGCTCAGCTTTCTTTATGGTACAACTCTCGCATCCATACATGACTACTGGAAAAGCCACAGCTTTGACTATACAAACCTTTGTTGGCAAAGTATGTCTCTGCTTTTTACTATGCTGTCTAGGTTGATCAAAACTTTCCTTCCAAGGAGTAAGCATCTTTTAATTTCATGGCTGTAGTCATCATCTGCAGTGATTTTGGAGCCCAAGAAAATAAAGTTTCTACTGTTTGTACTGTTTCCCCATCTATTTGCCATGAAGTGATGGGACCAGATGCCATGATCTTTGTTTTTTGAATGTTGAGTGTTAAGCCAACTTTTTCACTCACCTCTTTCACTTTCATTAAGAGGCTTTTTAGTTCCTCCTCACTTTCTACCATAAGGGTGGTGTCATCTGCATATCTGAGGTTATTGATATTTCTCCTGGCAATATTGATTCCAGCTTATGCTTCATCCAGCCCAGCATTTCACATGATGTACTCTGCATATAAGTTAAATAAGCAGGATGACAATGTATAGCCTTGACATACCCTTTTCCCAATTTGGAACCTGTCTGTTGTTTCATGTCTGGTTCTTGACCTGCATACAGATTTCTCAGGAGGCATGTAAGGTGGTCTGGTGTTCCCATCTCTTTAAGAATTTTCCAGTTTGTTGTGACCCACACAGTCAAAGGTTTTTGTGTAGTCAAAAAAGCAGAAGTAGATGTTTTTCTGGAATTCTCTCCCTTTTTCTATGATCCAGTGGATGTTGACAATTTGATCTCTGGTTCTTCTGCCTTTTCTAAATCCAGCTTGAACATCTGGAAGTTCTTGGTTCACATACTATTGAAGCCTAGCTTAGAGAACTTTCAGCATTACTTTGCTAGCCTGTGAGAAGAGTGCAATTGTGCAGTACTTTGAACATTCTTTGGCTTTGCCTTTTTGGGGGATTGGAATGAAAACTGACCTTTTCCAGTCCTGTGGCCGGCCACTGCTGAGTTTTCCAAATTTGTTCTCATGTTGAGTGCTACACTTTAACAGCATCATCTTTTAGAATTTGAGATAGCTCAGCTGGAATTCCATCACCTCCACTAGCTTTGTTCATAGTGATGCTTCCTAAGGCCCAACTTCACATTCCAGGATGTCTGGCTCTAGGTGAGTGATCACACCATCATGATTATCTGGGTCATTAAGATCTTTTTGTATAGTTCTTCTGTGTATTCTTGCCACCTCTTCTTAATGTCTTCCTCTTCTGTTAGGTCCATACCGTTTCTGTCCTTTATTGTGCCCATCATTATATGCAATGTTCCTTTAATAGTTCTAATTTTTTTTTAAGAGATCTCTAGTCTTTCCCATTCTATTGGTCTCCTATATTTCTTTACACGGATCATTTAGGAAGGCTTTCTTATCTCTCCTTGCTATTCTTTGGAACTCTGCATTCTAATGGGTATATCTTTCCTTTTCTCCTTTGCCTTTAACTTCTCTTCTTTCCTCATATACTTTAGAGGTACCCTAAAGAATTCATTTTTACTCAACACTATTCTAGTGCAGTTAACTTCCAACCTAGAACATGAAAGCTATAACTTGCTGTGATCTCTTTCCATTGTTTATGAAACATCATAAAAAATAGTTTATCAAATCCAGTATCTCATCAAAGAGATTTTTGGTCACTGGAGAAGAGTTAGCTTTTTTCTACTATCTGTACCGTCACATTTAAGTTATGCTGTGTCATAAATAAGATGTGAATGGGGAAGAGATCAAGATTGTGGATTAGATAGATGCTGAGCTCACCTACTCCCATGAACACATGTAAAGTACATCTTAATGCGAAGGAATTCTCACTGAAAACTACCTGGAGGCGAACAGAAAGACTCTTTGGCAACCAAAGCTGTGAAGAAAGATCCACAGGAGTCATAAAGGAAGGGAGGAGAAGCAATTAGGTCAGGACACACTTCCCTAGGAAGGTACAGAGAAGAGGAGGGGTAAATCATGGGCTTGCATATCCTTCCTGGGGATTAAGGAGTGTGAACCACATGCTGGGCACACCAGCCAGCACTGGGAAGATAAGTCCCCTTAGCTGGTTTGACAACCACTGACTGACAGGAGGGTGTAAGAGACTGAGACTCCCATCTGTGAAGAACATGGACACACTCTGGTTTATGCTCAGAACAAGGCAGAGGAAGCAGATTAAAACTACCTAGGGCTCTGACAGTAATGGATACCTCAGCATCGCCTCTAGCTCTTGTGCAAATACCAACTAGGATATAGGCTAATATTGTCAAAGCAAGTGTGCACTTGTGAGGAACAGAGCCAACTCAGACCCAGCACTGCAGTTAAATGTGGCAGGGACGTTTATTGCTGGCACTCATGGAAGGCAGTGGATCAGGAGCTGTCTGCAGATCTGTCTGGCATGCTGGAGCCATCCCAGTGCATGCCCTAGTTGCACCAGCTGCCTTCTCTAAACACCTCTTTCTGCATTCCTACTCCCCTCTGCAGTAAAGGTACCATGACTAGGAGAGGGGAGAATGCATACTTAGAGGGAACAGAACAAGCTCCTATCTGACCCTCAGGGTTTCTGCCCCAACACTTTGGACCTGACTCTGCCACCAGTAGGATGGTGATGGCCACCGAACATAGTAAAAGCCCCAGTTCACACTTGGCTCTGGCTTTAGCCCCTCCATTTCCAACCCTACCTTTTACCAAGGTGATAGATGCCAACACACCCAGGGGGATGATACAACCCACGCTCAGTTGAGATCCAGCTCTCCCACCAAAGCCACTGGGAATACACAGACTTGAACAGGCTTGAATAGTGATGCTCCCACACAAGGACACATCTTCAAGACTGGGATAGGTAATTATCCACCACATTTCATAGAGACAGAAAGTTAACCAAAATGAAAAGAAAGAAGAATATGTTTCAAACAAAAGAACAAGAAAAAACTTTTTTAAAAACAACTAAAGGATAGATGAACACAATGAGAATTTTGACAAGGAAGTGGGAATGTAAACAATTGGTCAAAGTTTAAGAATATAATAACTGAAATGAAAAGCAGCCTAGAAGGAATTAACAGCAGATTATGATACAAAAGAAGGCATTAGTGATCTTGAAAATAGTCTAATGAAAATCATCCATCAAAAAGAAAAAAAATTAGAAAATAATGACATTTAAAAGAAACTGTGGGAAAACAGCAAGCATAATAACATTTGCATTATGGTGGTTC